GGTTAAGGGAGGGTTGAGCGCTCACAAACATGTTGAACCTGTCACAGTATGTGCCTGTCCTTAGTCAGGAGCCTGTAGTACAGTGGTTGTCGTTGGCTCAGGTCTGTCATAAATATATTTGTTTTTCGTAAATTGTTTTGTTAGAAATTAGGCCGTTAGTTTTCTCGTTTGAATTGTTTAACATTTTTCATGTCGGCCCTTTTATAGCTGACAATACAGTATGGAGTTTTTCTCATTGTTGAGGGTCTATGATTGCTTACTACCCCTTCATTCTAACTCTGTAGGATAGCTGTCTCATTGGCAATTATACCACATGTCCTCAATTTTTATACGACCGCAAAAAAATGTTTGTGGTCGTATATTGGTATGACGTTGGCGTCGTCGTCGTCGTCGTCGTCGTTGCCGTCGTCGTCCGAAGACACATTAGTTTTCGCACTCTAACTTTAGTTTAAGTGAATGGATCTCAATGAAATTTTACCATAAGGTTCAATACCACAAAAGGAAGGTGGGGATTGATTTTGGGGGTTATGGTACCAACAGTTTAGAAATTAGGGGCCAAAAACAAGCATTTTTGTAGTTTCCGGACTATAACTTGTGTATAAGTGTATGGATCTCTCTGACATTGTACCACAAGGTTCCATATCACAAAGGGAATGCTGGGATTGATTTTGGGGGTAATTGCCTCCAAATTTTAGGAATTAGGGTCCAAAAACAAGCATTTTTCTAGTTTCATGACAATAACTTGTGTTCAAGTGTATGGATCTTTATGAAATTGTACTACAAGGTTCCATATCACAAAGGGAAAGCTGGAATTGAGTTTGGGGGCAATTTCCCAAAAAGTTTAGGAATAAGGGGCCAAAAATAAGCATTTTTCTAGTTTCCAGACAATAACTTGTGTTCAAATGTATGGATCTCTCTGAAATTGAACTGCAAGGTACCATACCACAAAGGGAAGGCTGGGATTGCTTTTGGGGGTAATTCCCTCAAAATTTTAGTAATTAGGGGCCATAAAAGGGCAAAAAAACAAGCATTTTTCTAGTTTCAGGACAATAACTTGTGTGTAAGTGTATGGATCTTTATTAAATTGTACTGCAAGGTTCCATATCACAAAGGGAAAGCTGGGTTTGAGTTTGGGGGTAATTGCCCTACAAGATTAGGAATTTGGGGCCAAAAAGGGGGAAAAAAAGCATTTTTCTAGTTTCCAGACAATAACTTGTGTTCAAATGTATGAATCTCTCTGAAATTGTACTGCAAGGTACCATACCACAAAGGGAAGGCTGGGATTGATTTTGGGGGTAATTCCCTCAAAATTTTAGTAATTAGGGGCCATGAAAGGGCAAAAAAACAAGCATTTTTCTAGTTTCAGGACAATAACTTGTGGGTAAGTGTATGGATCTTTATTAAATTGTACTGCAAGGTTCCATATCACAAAGGGAAAGCTGGGTTTGAGTTTGGGGGTAATTGCCCTACAAGATTAGGAATTTGGGGCCAAAAAGGGGGAAAAAAAGCATTTTTCTAGTTTCCAGACAATAACTTGTGTTCAAATGTATGAATCTCTCTGAAATTGTACTGCAAGGTACCATACCACAAGGGAAAGCTGGGATTGAGTTTGGGGGTGATGAATCATAAGGGGGTTCAAAAATTGGGGGGGATTTTTTTTTTCCTTTTTTTTCTTTAAAATTTTCCATTTTAAATTGGTTATTTCTGATTTATATATAAAAGCAAATAATAATGATATGGTTTGAATAGGTAAATTAAAATTTTTTAAGTTCTTAGACCACTTTCATTCTGTGTGAGAAACCTATGCTGTGTCAAATATTTAATTACAATCCAAATTCAGTGCTGTATCAAGCTTGAATGTTGTGTCCATACTTGCCCCAACTGTTCAGGGTTCGACCTCTTCGGTCGTATCAAGCTGCGCCCCAGCGGAGCATTTTATTATATGTTCAAATAAAGTTCCCTGAAGTCACAATAAACTCATCATAGATACAAGGATCGAAATTTTGTACGCCAGACTCGCGTTTCGTCTACAAGACTCATTAGTGACGCTCGAATCAAAAAAGTTAAAAAGGCCAAATAAAGTACGAAGTTAGAGAGCATTAAGGACCCCAAAAAAGTTTAACCAAATACAGCTAAGGTAACAACATCTCCCACTTTAAGCTCTAGGTCCACTACTGAAGCAATATTTTATTGAATGATAATAATATAAATTGTATGCACGTCTTTTTGTTATACAGAATAAAAGGTAACGGGATTTTTTTATTTTTTTGGGGGTGGTGGGTGAAATTTTAATGTCTTTGGAAGGGGAAGTAATTATATATATGTATGTCTGCCTATGTGTAGTGACAACTGTAAATTATACCTTGTCCATCGGATCTCTTGTGATTAAGAAATACCAGGCGTAAGAAAATTTATCTACTCTAACATTGTGAGGTTGATTTTCTAGGCCCTTTATAAATATTCTAACGCCTGGTATTTCTTAATCATAAGAAATCCGATGGACAAGGTATAATGTACAGTTGTCACTACACTCAAAGACTGTTTATGACGGCTTTCCAAGGGTGTGTACTGTTTGATACTTTATAGTCTTGGAGAACATGAGTTATTTATTAGTGGTAATTGGCTTTGAACAAGCTTTCAGTAACTGAGAGTATTCTCATATCAGTGCCTTGTGTCTATTATTTTTATGTTAGTTGGTTTATTTGTGCTTCGTACCGATCTATTGAGTAAAGCCATTTGCAACTGATTTTAAAGTCATTGCCTTTATTGGCATCATGTACATGCATTTTGTTTATCGATAAGAAAAAGAGTGCACACGTTTTTCATTCTTTAGTTTCTTCAAGATCGAGTAAAAGTATGTTTTGTTTGATTATAACGAAGTCGTAAGTAAATAATATTTATGATGTAATTATATAAAGTTAAGAATGTTTCTAAAGTTAAAAAATTCAAAAGTTCAACAAATCGTCACACGGACACGTGAGCATATAGTCTCATAATTTCGTTCCCGACTAGAATGAATTCGGATCGTGAATGAATTCCAGCCTACCCACAAGGAGTCTCCTGTTAATTTTTCTTTCCTAGTATTTATATACGGTCAATCTTCCTCATCAGTCTGTGTAATGTTATTAATTTGCTGCAGGATACCTGTATCAGCGTAATTGAAATCAAAACGGATTATATGATAAAGTGTACAGTCTATTAATGAAGTACACATTTGTCTGTATGTTACAAATTGTCCAAATGTTATTTAATACGATTGTCAAAATAATTGTAACACCACCTTCATAGTCTGTTAATGCATTACACATTTGTCGTTATGCAATTAAATAATGTTCAAACCCGCATTGTGTTACATGATTTCATATTGAAAATTAAATTAATTCGATTGAAAATCCCTCAAACGCAATATTTATGTGGTTTGTCATTTTTCTTTAAATAATTTCACTAAGAAAATGATACCCTAACAGTTATATAACAGACTTCGTTTCTGGGCGCATTGAAACTGTAAATAGTTTGTGTTGTATTATTGCGCTCTCTTTTCTACCCATGATTTAGTAAAATATCGACCCTTTTTACAATGCAAAACCCTGTTTTATCCAATTTTCCCATTGATATTCGCCCAAAACTTCTAAGTACAGTCTACTACATCATTTTTAATGCGTAGCAGATTTCATGTGTTAGGATTGATTTATTCCGTTTGTCAAACTATTTACGCATCAGTGAATTTTGTAAAAATTACTATTCTGAAATGAATTCTGGTTCCTTGTGAGCGAGGGAAAGATCGATGCCGCGTTTGAGAGCCAAACCAGTGTAAACCGGTCCATGTGATTCAGTGATGACAAATACCTATTTCACTGTTTTAACATCGCAGCGTAAGAGCAAATTTATATTACATCAATCAATCTTGCGAAGAAGATGTAATAGAGGCGGTCTTTGGATTTATAAATATGTTTTATATCTTTCTTGTAATCCGTACAATGACACTGATTAACAACGGTCAGTAGGTCTTATCTGGTAATAGTTTAACGGACTCTTACCTTGTCGCCGATGTACTTGGAGCCCGATTGAATCTCAGGACCAAAAAGACACGATACACGTAACCAGTATGTTTTTACTTTGACAATTAGGCCGACTGGCTCCCAACGGAAAAATAAAATTATTAGGAAAATCTATAAAATACGAGATTCCGATTGAAGTGAACATTAGAGCATTACCCGAAATAACCCCGTGCGACATCCTGGCTAAGGGCCTGTATGGACCCTTAAACATGTCTGGATAATCATAGTGCCGTCCCAGAATTGTTTATTTGAATACACTTTAATATTGGTCCCTGCATCAGCAGTAATTGTTAAGATTTTAGATAAATTACATCATGAGAGTTTGCAATGATTCTGATTCTGTAGTTGATAATGTCAAAGGCAGAACCAGGAAAATGGCAGTCTGACTAAATACTTTACTATGACCTGATCTTAATAAAAATAATGGTACATTTTTAATTTCTTTAGAACAACCAATCTGATAATTATTGTTTTATTTAGCACGTGAACTTTCATAAGGTAGAGAAAGCACTGCAACCAAGATCTACATGACTTTGTATCATGTAAGAAACGTATAAAAAAGTTATTCGTTTGGATTTAAGTTTTTAAGACAGAGTGGAAATGTTTTCTTTAGGCAAAGAGTCCCTCAAATAATTAATGTTGAATAAATTGCACACTATTTTACTTTCAAAGTTCCTTTGTATTACTTGAATATACACTATGTTAAATATGTTATTTCCACACACTCACAACGAAATTTGTTTAAGATTTACATATACTATTTCAATTTCCAGTTACCGGTAGTGACCAACCTGCATCATTTGTATTTTCTTGTGTGGTATTGGCTTCTCTTTAATACCCAGGAAGCGGTCTAGAATAATTTATTAACGCTTTTTAAGTTCTTTGAAGTAGAGAATTTCACCAATATTTTGGGTATACCAGAAAGAATTGAATGAAATCAGATTTACGACACCACGTTTGTTTAATTATCAAGTGTCAATAGATCATTGTATTTTATATTTTATACTGGTAATAGTGTTTTAACATAAATGATAATTGTTTTACTGGTAATATTTGGTATGAAATTTAATTCTTGACTTGTGATAACAGAACTAATCTTGTACTTGTTCTTAAAGAAAGAACACTAATCTTTCACACATTCATATTTCTTAGTATACAGCAAATGCCTTTTCAAGTGCTTTCCACTTTGATCACAGTTTGTTCTTCATATGATGTGCTTTTACATCACTGTCCAAGGTTGTAGGGAGGGTAGAGCACTCACCAATATGTTTAACCCAGCCACACTGTCCCAAGTCAGGAGCCTGTAATTCAGTGGTTGTCATCGGTTCATATGTCATATTTGTTTTTCATAAATTGTACTGTTATAAATTTGGCCTTTAGATTTATTGTTTGAATTATTGTATTTTTCATGTCAGGGCCTTTTAGAGCAGACTACACAGTATGTTTTTTTCATTGTTTAAGGCCATACTGTGGTCTACAATTGCTACATGTACATTTGTACTCTGGTTGATAGTTATCTCATTGGCAATCATACCAAGTCTCTGTATTGAAACAGAATATTGCTGCCATTCTAAGAGCACTATTATAAGTTTTGTAGTTTTTACAGTATTATTCTAATATCATATACAATTTACATCCACAACAATTGATTTATAAAATTCCATCATGTCCATTGTTCACATTCACTTTGTTTCTGTCTGTTTCTTTTTGTTTTCTTTTAATTTATGATAAAAGTCTTCTAGTTCATCGAATTTTTCACTATCAAATTTACCTTTATTTTTTTGTTTGACATCATCTTTAGGATTGGGAGTTTTATGGTCACGATCTTTTAAATGACCTCTATTATGAGGAGATCTTGATTTTCTTTCATGAGACCTACGACTGCGTGATTTTGAACGAGATCTTCCACGAGATCTTGATCTAGACCTGTGAGGTCTGTATCCTTTTGATGACTTCCAGCTTCCTCTACCTCTGTAACTACTTCCTCTATATGAACCTTGACCACGACCTCTATATGAACTGTATGATTTATGTCTCTTTGGAGATTTAGATCTAGTTTTCAAACCTGCCACTTTTCTTCCTGGTGATATAGAGGGCGATTTTGAGTCTGTAAACTTATTCCTACCCATTATTACAGGGCGTGTTTTTGCAAAACCTCTTCCAGATTTTCTCATGGGCGGTGACCTCTTGTAAGATCTCCTTGGAGATCTTGAATACCGCTTTCTTGATCTTGATCTAGATCTTTGTGGGGGTCTTGACCTTGATCTATGTCTTGATCGTTTCCTTGATCTTGACCTTGTTCTAGATCTTGTTCTATGTTGTGATCTTGGTCTTGATAAGGATCTAGACTTGGATTTTTGAGATGGAGATAGACTTCTCCTTCTGTAAGACCTTTTGTTATCACCCGATGCAATAGGTTTGGGATTTTCTTTTTTTATTTCTTTCAGTTCACTATTATTTTTAGATAATTTAATGTTACTTGCACCTTTTGGTTTTGAAGCTTTACTATCTGAATCTGACTTTATACTTTTACTACTATCAATCACTGGTTGTTCATTAATATGGAACATTTCTACAACACCAACATCTTCTTTCTTTTCAGTCTGTTTTCCAAATTGGTCATTTGTAATATGAATTCGAATTCCTTCAAATTCCCTTGAATTGCTTCTTCTTAATCTATCTTTTGCATCATAATCTTGTTTAGAATAATTAGAAACTTGGGATAAATCTTCTCTAGACTGTTTCACTGCTGGGGAATTTCTCATTTCACCTGGACTATCATCCCATTTTGATTTCACAAGCTGATTGACAAATTCATGCTCTTTTCTTTTCTTTGGGCGATTCTTAATTTCTCCATCATCTTTTCTAATTAAAAGCTTACTACTGTATGGCTGATCATTAGATGACTCCTTGGGAACAACTCGACGAATATCTCCTACAGATGAAGAGCCAATATAATCCACTTCAGAGGTTCCTTCGTTTTTCAATGTAATTTCTCCTGATGTTTTTCCCTGATTGCTTGCTAACTTTTTCTTCACCTTCTTCTTAGTTTCGCCACTTTCTTTTCTTTTCTTTTTTGATTTTACTTTTTCATCAGTGAGCCCTTTTTTCTTCTTTCCTGATTTTGTTTTACTTCTGTTTTCATTCTTTGATAAATCTTCTGGTAGCTTCTGAAGTTCTGTTGACTGCTCTTCCTTATTTAATTCAATGCTTTCTGCCCTATTCTCAACTTCCTTTGGCTCCCTTTCAAATGATCTTCTTGAAGATATTTCTCTTTCAACATTTTCATCTATTTTATATTGTTGATTATCTCTTGGACTCATGCTCCACCTCTCTAATCTGTTAGAACTTGAAGTATTTGCAGGACTCCTTCTTTCAAAATCTCCCGATTCTGATGGACTTCTGCCTCTTCTTACATTCCTGATATCTGTTGGACTTCTGCCTCTATCATCAGTGATCTTTCTCCTTGAACCTTCAAAGTTGACTGGACTTCCACTCCATGATGTTTGACTTTTGTTCATTATGTGTCTTCCCTCCTGATATTCTGATGTCCTTTCATGAGAACTGTTTCTTCTTCTGTAACCAGGACTTTTATCACCTTCATACCCACCATTCCTTCCATCCATTGAATTATTTCTTCCTTGGTAACTTTTATCCTGATTATACTGAATATTTCTTTCATCCCTTGAATCATTTCTCCTTCTGTTATCAGGACTTCTACCTTGAATGTTTGACATATTGCTTCCCCCCCTTGAGACATTTCTTCTGTTATCAGGACTTCTACCGTGAATGTTTGACATATTTCTTTCCCCCCTGGAGACATTTCTTCTGTTATCAGGACTTCTACCTTGAATGTTTGACATATTTCTTTCACCCCTGGAGACATTTCTTCTGTTATCCGGACTTCTACCTTGAATGTTTGACATATTTCTTTCACCCCTGGAGACATTTCTTCTGTTATCAGGACTTCTCTCCAGGTTAACAGTTGTTTTTCTATATTTGGGCAATGGACTTCTTCCTCTCTCATGTTTCAAGCTTCTAGATCTGGACCTTCTTGGACTCATGTCATCTTTTCTCCAATGCTGATCTTTCTCATAACTTGGACTTCTGGATGGTCTACGTCTTCTACTTTCAAAGCTTGAAGATCTGCTTCTTCTGTCACTTCTACTTCTCCCAGACCTTCTACTTGGGCTCCTACTGCTGTTCCCTTGATGACCACTATAACCCTCCTCTGTCATTGGTTGATTTTGATAATATGTCGGTGGAACTCCTGGGTACATTTGCTCTTGACTTGTGAACTGGTTGCTGTACCTATAAATCTGAGCTTGTTCTGCTCCAGGGATACCAAACCAGTTAGGTGGAGGATGTCCATACATATGATGATTTGCGCCATACTGCATTGAATTGGGAATTGGTTGTGCTGGTCCCACGTCACTCTCCTGGGATGAAGATCTGAACATGTCAGAAAAAGATTGTCCACCACCTGACAAGAATGATGACTGTAAGTCAATACCATACTCCTGGTGTGGCTGAACCTCTGGTTCATACACTGGCTCTCTATTTACATCCCCCTCAGGTGGACTACTGTTTCTGTGAGTCCTGTCTCTTTCTCTGGAATGTCCTTTTCTCCTCCTTTGCAAACTTTCTCTACTACTTCTACTATCAGAAGAATCTGATGATGAGGTTGATGATGAGGTGGATGATGAAGAACTATCTCTAGATATTCTCCTTTTTTTCCTGAAAATATAAATGGATATTTCAAAAATAACTTTCATTTACCTCCTTTTTTTCATTTTCCTTACATATATAGAATTAAAAAGCTGTATATTTATATAATACTCTTATTTTCAAAACATTCTATTGCATTTTTTGAAAAAAAGACACTTAATTTATAAATTTTGCTTTTAAAGCAATAAACAACACATATATAACATAACATGAAGCTTTATTAACTACAGTCTGTATCGACCACCAGGTGTATAATGTGTTGATTGATTGATTGTTGGTTGCTTAACATACAGTAGCAATCTAATGTGTTGAGGAATATCCTGTTTTTTAATATTCACTGCAAGAAAAACTTCCTACTCAGAGCAAAATTGATTCTTCATGCTACTTGAAGAACAATCAAAGGTGACAATCTTACAGAGAACAAGCAGTTCACATTTGTTTAAAACAAGATTTCATCTTTATAAAAATGATTAACTATCAAAATGACTACTTTTGGAAATGGAAGCAATATCTGAATTCTTCAAATTTGAAACAACATTTATTACAAATGGAATATTAAAACATAAATCTTATTGAACACGAAATTTATTTGAGTAAGACAAGGAACAGTAAACATTTAAAATTTTCCTAATAGTTTTAGCCTTTTTTCACTGGGATAATCTTCTATTCTTAGTGGTTATTTCATTTTGTACAATGTAATGCTCAAACAATTTGGATCACAATTTTTGATATTTTTGTGAAATGTTGGTTTTGAAAAAGTAGATGCAAGAATATTCTTTAGAATAATCAGTCCTTTGTGACATTATGTGGAATCTTATTTTTTTTTCGTGGGTATCAATTTTTGTGGATGGAAGACAAATTGTATTTTCATGAATATTTGATTTAGTTGTTAAGCCTAAGTCTGCATATAAGCCTACAGAAAAGGGGTACTTCATTGAACACTTAAATTTATGGTTCACCTATAACCACGAACACTGATTTTTCATGAATAATATTGAATCCACAGTACTATATAAATTTCTACACACATATTTTCAGATATATATGATATAAAACAAAGTTAACAAAAAAAACAGGACAATTTTATGCCAAAAATAAAATGCTATTAAACAGCAATTGGATCGTGGTTATATAAAGACATTCTTTCAAATTCAGTGGCGGATCCAGAAATTTTCATAAGAGGGGGCCCACTGACTGCCTAAGAGGGGCCCGCTCCAGTCATGCTTCAGTGATTCCCTATATAATCAACCAAATTTTTCCCACAAAAGGGGAGCATGGGCCCAAAAGGCCCCCCCCCCCCCCCCCCTAAATCCATCTCTGAAATTTACTGTAAAGAAAAAGTCATTGTTTCTTTTGTCATTTACCCAAATTTATTTCCATTTTTTTATAAGCACAATTTGTAATTTGTGATTTGAAATTTTTTTGAGTTTAATCAGTACGATCTAATTATCTTTAATGATTTTCGCTGGTGAAAAACAGTCAACATTAGATGCCTTTTGATAACAAAGACAGTCAGTTAGTCAGTCAGTGTGTGATTGTGTGTGTGTATGTGTTTGTAATTTGCAAGTAAACAAGACAAGTGAAAGCTAAATTTCAAATGATCACCTTTTCTATCTTCTCTCCTTTTGTTTAAAAAATTTCTTACAGTGCTGGTCTTTTCCAAACTACACAATTCTTATACTCATCAGTGAAAATGATCACCTTTGCCTTTTATCTTCTCCTTTAATTAACTTCTTCAACGTCCTGGCTGTTTGCTCAAAGCCTTCTGGAGACTTGTTCCTTCTTTCATCTTTTGGGCTAGACTGTCTTCTGGTTTCTTTTTGTCTTCTTTGACTCTGAAAATAAATTTGTAAATTGTGTAAGGAGAATCTATCAAACACTTTTAGTTCATTAAGTTGTCCAATAACTTGCAGCAGTCTTCAATATTTCTATGTTTTAAAAAATTGAATAGATGATAACATCACAATTAATAACATACCCGTCTGTAATGCAGAAATCTAAGAGCTTCTCTTGCTTCAACAGATGCTTGATCCAAAGACATGGCTTTAGTATATAGTTCCTCTGCCTCTTGATACTTCTCTATGTCCTCATTTCTGAAACAAAAAACAAAAAAAATGTTATTTCATATTCAGCAATGAATTAATGATGAGATGATTCTGGATCTTGAACTCCTTTTCCTCTTTTCCATGTATTTTTACACATGTTACCATTGGCAGAAAATAAGGCTGAAAAACCATGCACTTTACAAAGCTCACCATCTATTACAGCAGATTCCAACGAGTGTGTAGCTAAAGGTAGAATCTTTGGTTAGCTTCCTTGCTAGCTCAACCATGAAATGATTATTACCTTAAGATTGGGAGGAGCAAAGCACCATTTTATCATCCAATGAAAACATTTATATCAATGGCCTGTTTACTATTTATAATATATGTATGTTTCATACAAAGGTTTACCTAGACTACTTTGCAAATACAAGTTCATTTCTTAGTCTTTGATTGAATTAAGAAATCTTTTTATTACAATAAATTAGAAGCGGATTAACGTTTTATTTTTAATATTTACGCCGTGAATAGGCAGTTTAGTTAATTAGTGTCTTTAGGTGCACGCAAAAAAAAACATTGTTATGGTCTTGGTGTCTTTTCTTCATATATATGCATAGTTTTTAGAACTAAAATCTTTTATATTCACACAGAAAAGAAAAAAATATCATACTACTTAATATCATGCACGGTTGCATTTGTGGACCTTTTATTTAGTTAAAAATGCAACAATAAAAAAAAACAGCAAACAACTGCAGTCTGGAATTGAAAATATTGCAGAGTTTATGAACATCCACTTGGTCCCGTAAAACATTACATTACTTATTAGTTTTAGATAAATTATGCAGCCATGAAGAACAATTTTTATGTCTCTACTTCAGTTTTAATCTGACCTAGATTGAATGATCAGGTCATATGTATTTTTGGACACCTTCCAATCTTTTTTACCTGTCCGGGTGTATTTTAAACATATGTGTATGTGTAAGGTGAATACAGTCAGCACTTGTCAATCATATTCAACTACATTTTATTAACTTGATGTAACAAATTCAACAGACAAGTTAAATATATTATTATTTGTAATGTCTGACGAAGAAGAAAAAAATAAGGAATTTCAGCTTTCAGTTAACTTTTCATCATTTTGGCAAATCAAACACACCCACAACATGCATGCTTGTGAATGAGCTTATAATTATCACTAAATTTTAAATTTAGATTGAAAACTTATTTTTAAACTGACTTGTAAAACTAGATTTACAATGTTTATATTCTGTCACTTAATTCTGATTGGTTCTCTGCTTAAGTATTGACTCCACCCAAAGGCTGGATGTGCTTTACCTAATAATGATTTCATGGTTGAGCTAGCAAGGAAGCCAACCAAAGATTCTACCTTTAGCTACACACTCGTTGAAATCAGCTGTAACATGTCTAATTATGAACATGTATATCTTTGTTGCCACTGTTACCAAAACAAAATTTTTAATAAGAAACCAAAAGCATGCTAAAAGTTGTTTTTTTTAGCATGTATAAACAAGAATGTGTCCATAGTACACGGATGGCCCACTCGCACTATCATTTTCTATGTTTAGTGGACCATGAAATTGGGGTCAAAACTCTAATTTGGCATTAAAATTAGAAAGATCATATCATAGGGAACATGTGTACTAAGTTTCACGCTGATTGGACTTCAACTTCATCAAAAACTACCTGGACCAAAAACTTTAACCTGAAGCGGGACAGACTGACAGACAAACTGATGGACAAACAAACGGATGCACAGACCTAAAAAAATATGCCCATAAATGGGACATAATAAACAAAAATTTGTTTTCAACTTACGATTTTCCATAGGCCAGAAGTGTATCATGTAAATATTTTCTTGCATTTGCATGCACTGAATTAATCTTCAAGGCATCTTCAAAGTCATCAATTGCTCTGTTAAAACTTTCATTATTTGCATATCTGAAAAAACAAAAATTAAAATAGTTTTCACATTTTTTTGGGGTGCTTGAAGCTATTATATATACTCTTGTCTTAAAAAAATATTTGATCCTAAAAAATTTGCTTCAAATGTTTATGAATCCTGCATATTGAAATTATAAATATTTTCTTATTTCTTAACGTTCCAAATACTTGTTCATTATCTACATAAATTCAGTGTAACTCTTCATTTAATATGTAGATTCATAAGATCAGTCAAATTCAAGTGGAACGATTAAAATCTTATAAGCTTACAATGCTCCTCTGGCAACCAATGCTTCAACATTTGTCTTGTCAATATCTAATGCTTTATTAAAACACTGTACAGCTTCAGGCTGTTTCCCAGCTTTAAAATAAGTAATTCCTTGTGCAACACTGAAAATAAAATAAAATATTAAAATATTTTTTTCCATTTTGACCATACGAATTTGTCTTCTAGCATGTCAATTTTTTCCTTATTAATTCATTTGGCAATTTTTTTTTTACCTGCTTTTATTATCCTATTTGGTTACTGGTTTTGCTGTATGTTTCATAAAATAAACATATCTTGGTTTGCTGTATATCTCATTTATATCATAAAATAAACATATCCTGGTTTTGCTATATATGTTTCATTTGTATCATAAAAAATACTTATCCTGGATTTACTGTATGTTTCATATGTATGATACATATGAAACATACAGTAAATCCAGGATAAGTATTTTTTATGATACAAATGAAACATATAGCAAAACCAGGATATGTTTATTTTACATGTGATTCTTCCGGCGGGAGTCAAAATCTCCCGCATTTCAGACCCTCTTCCGTCCCTCCCGTTAAAATTTGAAATCTTCCGCTTTTTGAAAATGTCAACCTCGTAAAATTTTCATTAGACATTTTTGTTTACAAAATCGATACGGACAGAGAAAAAGTCCGAGAAACTCGAAATTGATATGGGAAAAGTCCGAGAAAAACGGAAGTTTCCTGTAATGGATTTTGTGTCAAAAGTTAAAATAGGTAAAATTAGCCTGAGGTGTTTAGGATTAAACTGTATATACAACAATAAATAAAAGATAATAGGCAATTACCTAGTGATCAACTAGCTAGTTTAAGACACAAGCAAGGTTGATTAAAAGTGAAATACTGACAAAGGATTAAATTGTACAAGTTGTATAAACAACAATTTAATTTGATGCTGTTGAAAACATGGAACGTTTACTGAACCTCAAAGACAAATGAAATCAACTCAAATATGATATTTATGGCTTGTTTTCTATCCAAGCCAATGGAATACCTATATAAGTACAGTTGTCTTGGACTATTCTAAAATTTTAGAATTTGACAAAATGCAAACCGTATTTTTATATCACCAAATACCCCAGCAGCAAATAAAAGAAGACCAAGTATCTAGCCAAATTCAACTCTGCCTGGAGATCTGATTTCAAATGATGCAGATCCAGTACCAAGGGTCAAGACCATGCTTACTACACTTCATGCAAAGCTGACTGTGGTGGCCCTAATGATTTGACCAAACTTATGGGGACAGCTACCCACCAGCAAGCCTACAACTCTATCAATTAACACCTTCTGTTACAAGCATGTTCAGTAGTAGTACCAAAGTTGACAATGTAGCTGAATCAGGGGTACTTTTTGCCAACTCTGTATGATGGCTGATCGCTTTATCTTGAATTATATATAATGAATAAATATTTGAAACCCCTTATCTTCTATTTTTATCAAGTAAAAATGGATATGGAGTTGTTGAAAGGTATGGAATTATTGTTCTTTTAACAAACAAAAAAGAAGATATGCAGTTTAAACACACAAAAAACCATTGCGTACTTCGATAAATAGGTCGATAAAAAATCTCCAGTTATGAAGCCCAAACTCCAGCTGAAAATTTCCAAATCTCCAGTTGTGGCTTGACAACTCTGTCACATGTCTGTGTATCATAAAATAAACATTTGCCAGTTTTGCTGTATGTTTCAGTTGTATTATAAAATAAACATATCTTGGTTTTGCTGTATATAAAATTTGTATCATACTTGCTAATGCTATGACCCATTAGTCTCTTATGATGCATTAGTCTCATACTTTGTTATTATACATTTTTCTCCTTTTGATTATTGCATCTTATATACAAGTGTCACCTCTAATTGGATAACATTTGAATAATTGCAAATCAAAACCACATACATATTGTAACTGGATTAATCATTCCTACCTTGTATGTGCCATCTTTTGAGACTGGTATTTTCTCAAGTTTTCTGCCATATCTTTTTCTGGGATATTTATTCTACAAAATTGCCAATGATTTGAAATGAATTTGTTATCAAAATTGAACCCAGTGAATAAACAATTCCTTTATGATTTACATGATCATGTATACTTGAATCTCAGCAATTATTTCATAAATCAGTAAATCCTTAACATTACAATCAATACTTAAACACAAGGCTTTTAAATTAAATTTATGGAAAAGATTGTGTTTACTATGAATAATCTTTAAAGAGTTTTACAATTACCATCTTAATAGATATGCATTTATCCAATAAAAATAAGTTTTTTTTTAACTAGATGTTTATACACAAATATCTTTATTTATTTGGAATTCATTGGAGAGATGTCCATAAAATATCTTTGTCATATTTATTAGGATAAAAACAAAAATGTGTCCATAGTACACGGATGACCCACTCGCACTATCATTTTCTATGTTCAGTGGACCGTGAAATTGGGGTTCAACTTCATCAAAAACTACCTTGATCAAAAACTTTAACCTGAAGCAGGACACACGGACAGACAAACGAATGAACGGAAATACAGACCGAAAATCATAATGCCCATATTAAAATGGGGCATAAAAAAACAGATGGAAACATGAAGATAAAATATCCACAGCTTGCTTACAATAACTGTGAGCATTAATTGAAACTGTATAATGTAGAATTTTTACCTGTACATGTGTTGTTGACATCAGTATTCTCAATATTATAGAGTTAAATACATTTGCAGTGATCTCCCCCAGGCCTTATAGCACCATTATACTTTTTATTTTGCCAGTTACAATCTTGTTATAAAGTTACCTATTTATAACCTTGTTTTGTTTTCTTCAGTTACAACCTTGTATTTTTATATCATATCTTACCTTCTTTTGTCAACAAAAAAGGCAAAGGACTGAATACTCATATTACAAGTTTAATACTGCCATAAATGTTGATGTGCCTACCAAAAATCAGGAACTATATATAAGCGGAGTTGTCTGACCATTCTAGTAATATACCCATAGAGGAATTTGCTGTTGATGACTAATTTTTGATAGTTTATGTTGAACTCAGTGGTAACCTGTTTAGACTGATGGTCATATCAAGATTGACATTAACTTTTGTCAATTTTTGGAAGGCATATGAGTTTGGTTTTTTTTAGATGATGACTCACTAATTTATACCCATTTTTTTTATACATATTTCAATGACCACCTATGTTTGGTCTACACCAGTACCAATCTAATGTTAATGTTCACAGGATTTCACATGAAAAGCATAACTTAAACTGACTGACCATAAATTGATCAATGTCATGCATATTTTCTGTCATTATCATTATATGTGTCTTAAATGGGCAGAAAAATCTGAAAATGTGCCTTCTATAATTCTTCAAAATTCAGTAACTAATTAACCTGACTCATGGCTATTGTAGCGTGATATATTGCATATAATAATTATTATTGTTGAAGACTGTATGTTGCACTCCAGCTTCATCTGCATATATAAGTATTGAAAAATATCAGCTGAAAGACACAAAATGAACTTTTTCAACTCCTTTTCTGCACTCGCTTGTCAAAAAGCCTCAAATTGTGCCTCCCTGTTGAGATTTGAAAACATCAATTTTCTAGAAAACCTGATAATTGGTACATCTTACAGAGCCCCTGCATCAACAAAACATATCATTAGAAATGCAAATGGATTAATTCTAATATTGCTGTTATATTTGTAAGTTTGTTGAGAAAAGATAAATTAATCAAATGTCAAATGAGTAATTCCTTTCTAAATATGACAACCATAGTGAAAATAGACAACTTAATTGCCTATGGTCAAGATCCTGGTATAAATCTGTCAACAGAAACAATAATGGATATATAAGAACTAAACAAAATCTAAAGCTTAGTTAGAGAATACATCTGTAGAACATGAATGGCCTATCTTCATGTAAACATTCACTGCCTTCTTGCTCTCATTTGGGCTTCATAGAAAATATATGAAAAACTTTATTCCAGGAACACATGTCGAGTGCAGGGCTTCCAAAATTATTTTTAGCCAGCCGGACATTTTATATATTATCCCGATTTTAATCCCTTAAGACTAAATAAATAAAAGGCAACTATGGTAATCAGTTGCCGAGTTGGCCATCCCAATGATTGACATTAAAAAAAAAACGATATTAAACTTTCTTTGATTCAAATTTGAAGTTCTGACGTAAACTTTTAAATTGGCAGTGCATCATTCGAAGTGTGCAACATCAGCGTACTTATATCTGCTTAGACTCTTTATTTGTGCAAAATAACGTTGTCAAAAACTTTACTTTCGTTTTAAAATCTAAACCGGATGTTATCTTGACAATGGTAAAACATGGACCAGAGACGGATACGTAAATTCCGTGTACGTTTGCAAAGCATGAATGAGTGTAAGTAGCTCTTTCTACGTTATTTTCTTGAAGAAAATATTCGAAATAAACGTGAGATAAAGGTATCAATGACAATTTAAGCATTTTTTGTAGAAATTAGGATGCATAATTATATTTCACACCTGTGCACATGCGCACACGTGTACTAGTTCAAACAGAGACATGTCTCTGGTTCAAACAACGTGGTTATGACGATTTTTCATTTTCACCTTTTTAATTTTTTCATCAAATCATATTTGTAAAAGTATTTCTGATAATTTAAATCTTTTTGACTAAATTAATTAGATGCAAACCGCTGAAATGTAAGAAAATAACTTTGAATAGACCGATCAGTGTCCAGTTCAAAATAGTTTACCTGTCACCTGAACAGGTAAATTTCAGCTGTTCGACAACTAATTAGCCTTGATTAAAATGAGAAGGTATTAAAGTAGGGGTTGTTTTGATAGTACTTAATGATCATGTCACTTTTATGACCGGAAATGTGTGGCTGTTAAATGCAAAAGATTGGGTCAAAAAGATCGCGAATTATGTTAAAATGACCGTCTCTTAAGCCTTGAAAACTAAAAAGTAGATGTCCGTTTCATGCTTTGCCCAGCCGGACTTTTACCGGACATTATACAAATGTCCGGAATATATGACCGTTTTGGAAGCCTTGGTCGAGTGCATCAATTTGGATGTTGGCATATATCTATTCAAAACTTCAAAATTTACTGAATGTCCACAAACAATCATAAACTACCATTTCTATCATTATTGTACTACAGTTTGTCTCTGAGAAATGAACCAATATGTGAAATGGAATAAGTTTTTTAAGCATCAAATGAACATAATAGCCATTCAAATGTGCCACAATGGATATCAGTTATACAAACTCAACACAACACAAAAGTCACTCAAACTAAATATGGATCTAAATGTAAAAGAACCGAGTTAAACTATATAATTAGAATATAAACAATTTATATATTTCGTGCCTCAGATTATGAAGTAAATATACAAATATACAGACCTATTCAGTCCTCTCATTAATGAATACGTTTCTTCCTGATCGAGCGTTTCCAACATGATACCAATGTTGCCACTATTATTGAACCCAAGAATAGAGTGTAGCAGCTCATCAAATGTTAGACCTCTTATATGAAGCTTTCTCCTGAAAAATATAAAAGTTTTAACACTTATCTAAATCTTCTTACAGACTGTCACCTTTTATTCCTAAGAAAGGCAAGTTTATAATCTGTATAACATTATTTCTTAAAGCTTTATATTTTAAACTAATATTACTGATACTTCATTGCTATATGTCCATATTTACGGTTACCATTGAGGCTGTCATTTGAAAGGTACTTCAATATTTCAAAAATCATAAAAAAAAAAAAAGATTTTCGACCATTTTTGACTGGAACTACCTCATAACTTGTTCTATGGACTACTATAGTAAGGGTAGTAGATAATTAGGCACAACTATCTTTACATTACTATTTTATTAACATGAAGACTACAGCTGCTGTTACAAACAAAATTCCAACTTTAAAATATGCTTAATAACATATAAATTCACAGATTGATTAATAATTTTAAACTGATTGAAGGCTTTAGCACCACTTTCTATCAAATGAATGTATTTGGGGAAAAGCAACTGGATGACAATAAATATATCTAATAACTGAATAGGTATATTACAAAATTTAGTCAGAAAAGTGTTTCAGCTTGGTTTTTTCACAGAACAAAAGCTCCAGTAATTTATTCTATGATGCCCTGTACCCTTTATATCAATTAAGAAGAACAAAGTGTTATGATATGATATTACAACAATTTTTCTGTCAAATGGTTGAAATGTCCTTTTTCAAAATTGGCTTATGGGAGAAAATGTCTTTTTAAAGATTTTAATCCTACACTAACTCCCTTAAGGCAAAATAGGTAACTGATCACAGATGAATTTGTTTAAACATGAAACGAGTTAACTTCTTTTTTTCAGGAAATTTAATGCAATACATTTTCAATTATTAAAATAAGAACTTGCCTAATACTGATTTCCTCCATGTATTCTTCATAGTAATGGAACTGATCCATCATAATAAAGTACTTCTTAGCCAAGTTTTAAAAATAACTTCTTTCTCCAATCCTAGTCTTATTGCTTCATTTATTTTATAATTAGGCCAAAAAAATATATATGTCTGTTTAAGGTTACATCATTAAAAAAAACAGGGTAGGTAGGTTGATATTTCCATTTTATTTGATTTTTTCATTTCATTTTTTGCGAAATGATTTGTCGTGCAGTGTGTCTTGACATGGTCCAAGTTGTCCATGGGCCGAGTTTACCCCTATTTTTAATGATTGGATTATTTCCCTTGGTTATTGGTTGGAAAAAATGGCGGCAAAGTGTTTAATTCATCACAAGAGTCCCAAGTTTCTTAAAACAGCTGTCATATTCACCATTGTGAACATTGAGATGTATCAGGCAATTGATTTATTATATGGGCAACTCTTAACTTTGCTTGTGACACAAGTGCAGTTAATTTTTCACTTTACTACGGGAATAAAATTACTTAAGAGTCTGCGCTCAAAAGTAGGGTTGGTCGGGTAACCGTAAACAGACATTTTTTTTTGGCCTTAACAAAGACAGTTGTGAAGATCTGTACCATAAATTGATTTCTGTCTTACAAGACATGCATATGTTGTCTTTTTTTTAAATTGTTTGTGTGGTTAATCAATGAAACATCTGGCCAAAATACTTTACATTTATGAAAACAATGTATAAAATATCATTGATTCAGATGACAGAAAAAAATAAAAGATTTAGATCAAACCCTACTTTTAAAATTGATTATGGGCCATTATAATAATATTTATTGATATTTGTCTAACTTTTTATAGATGAAGACAATATTAATCTTATTTGATAAGTTTGGAACACTTTTTCTTTATCAACATTTATAATAGGGTTCAAAGCCAAATATACTTAAGATGCATGTTGACATTCATAAACAATAGCAGCTTAAAATTGAGGAGGGCAGGCTATTTTTCATTTCAGTTTTACTGTTTTTGAAATGAACTAGATGATTAAAGTAAGATTAAACAGGAAGAGAATGACTAAGATTTTCTTTAATATACTACTTAACCTACAAAGTAGAAAATCCTGTGCTTTGAATGAGGATCAGAAATGTGAGAACCATTTCCAATAAGCAATTTACCTATATTTGTATGAGAAGACTTCTAAGAGAACAAAAAACAAACTCTCTATAATAAATGAAATATTCATTTATGACAGCAACAAGTACTTGTATACCTGTAGTTTTTGCAAATCAGCAACAAATGTCTTGCCAAAACGACTTGTAACGGTTTGAATATGCTAGCCAATTTTTTCCTCACAACATTTGCAATATGACTTTAGGCTGAATACCCGATTGTTTAAGATGTACCTACCTATACTGAACAGGAAACTCATCTTCATTAATCAAAGCCTACAGAAACAAAAATAAAATTGTAATAACAAACTTAGCTAAAACCAAGACCACAAATTAGGTAAGGCATGACACCACTGAAACTTAAATAAAAAAGGGCAGAATAAGGGTGTAACCATAATAATTTGCCTTTGTAAAGGTTGCTGCAATATTTGGTCAGTAGGATCATTCAAAATAATTTTACAACTGGAAATATTGAAAGGAATTGGATGATTCTTTGTAATGAATGTGCATGAAATATGTGCCAACTGACATTAAGCAAATTTACAACAATCTTTTGTTGATGACAATCCTTGTATGAAGATTCAAAGCTATGATGACTTGAAGAAAGCAAAGAATATTTGTGAAGAACCATATCATTTACTTTTAAGGCAATTTTTCACGTAAAATTTTATTCATATATGAACTTTCAAATGAAGAGTGCTTTATTTACGACAAATGTAAATGCAGTTGGGGACTGCAGGAGCACCTCTGGTCAAACTTTACCATTTTGGCTTCAATTTAATGTATAACAAGAATGTGTCCATAGTACACAGATGCCCCACTCGCACTATCATTTTCTATGTTCCGTGGACCGTGAAATTGGGGTAAAAACTCTAATTTGGCATTAAATTAGAAAGATCATATCATAGGGAACATGTGTACTAAGTTTCAAGTTGATTGGACTTCAACTTCATCAAAAACTACCTTGACCAAAAACTTTAACCTGAAGCGGGACAGACAGACGAACGGACACACAGACCGAAAAACATAATGCCCCTAGGTGGGGCATAAAAAAACTTATCAGTGATGCTGGAATCAAACAAGAGGCTCTCAAGAGCCTGAATCGCTCACCTGTTATTTTTTGCTTAAATCTTTCATCAATGATTATTTTTGCTTTTTAATATATATTAATGAGTGGCTTAAAAATTCCATTGAGATGTTCTTTGTATCTGTCCTATTTTCTTCAAAAACAAAGAAATACATTTTACCCCTATGTTTCATTTTAGCCGTAGTGGCTATGTTTCTTGACGTACAAGAAAATAAAATACAAAATTTATACTAGATATACTGAAACTCATTCAGCCCAAGTTTGGCTGAAATTGATTGAGCAGTTTCAAAGGAGAAGATTTTTTAAAGTAAGCAAACTAGATGAACAAATTGTGAAAAATTGTCTTTAAAGGGCAATAACTCCTAAAGGACACATTTGACAATTTTGGTCATATCAACTTATTTGTAGATCTTACTTTGCTAAACATTTTTCAAGATAATAACCAAAAACTGCAAAATTTCCTTAAAATTACCAATTTAGTGGCAGCAACCCAACAATGGGTTATAAGATTCATCTGAAAATTTCAGGGCTGATAGAACTTTACCTTATGAACACTTTTACCCCATGTCAGATTTGCTCTAACTGCTTTGGTTTTTGAGATATAAGCCAAAAACTGCATTTTACCCCTATGTTCTCTTTTTAGCCATGGCGGCCATGTTTTTTGACGAAACAGAAAATAAAACACAAACTTTATTCTAGATACCCTAAGGATTATTCAGCTTAAGTTTGGTTGGAATTGGTTCAGTGGTTTCTGAGGAGAAGATTTTTTAAAGTTAAAAAACATGATAAACAAATTGTGTAAAATTGTCCTTAAAGGGCAATAACTCTTTAAGGGGTCAATTCAAAAATTTGGTCATACAAAACTTGTTTGTAGATCTTACATTGCTGAACATATTTGCTGTTTTCAGTTTATCTTGATCATTAATACTATTCAAGATAATAACCAAAAACTGCAAAATTTCCTTATAATTACCAATTTAGCGGCAGCAACCCAACAATGGGTTATTAGATTCATCTGAAAATTTCAGGGCTGATAGAACTTTACCTAATGAACACTTTTACCCCATGTCAGATTTGCTCTAACTGCTTTTGAGATATAAGCCAAAAACTGCATTCTACCCCTATGTTCTATTTTTAGCCATGGCGGCCATGTTTTTTGACGAAACAGGAAATAAAACACAAACTTTATTCTAGATACCCGAAGGATCATTCAGCTTAAGTTCGGTTGGAATTGGTTCAGTAGTTTCAGAGGAGAAGATGTTTGAAATAGTTTACACCAGACAAATGACGGACGCCAAGTGATGGCTAAAGCTCACAGTTCCTTCAGAACGGTGAGCTAAAAAGCTAAACGGCCTAATAAAGTACGAAGTTGACAAAAATTCTGAAAGTAGTGTGAATTTGACATTGACTCTATAGACGATTAAGAAATGCAAACAATCAAGCTCAATATAAACTATTTTGAGAAAGTATATGGTAATTACTGGGACAATTCAATAAGATATTAAGGTAAAAAACTTAATCTGTCATAATCTTAATATGTTTTACAACTGATGTACAGTAGCTTGAATGTAGAAATAATACACACCAATTTAACATCTGAATTATTCTCTGGTAAAGATCTTTCCACCATTGATACAATCAACTTTTCTGTCTCAGGATTCACACTCAATACAACAGCTGAAAAATGATTGGAAAATCTAGACATTTTTAAACATTAATTATTTTATGATTGACAGCTTTATTTTTTTGGTACATGCCTTGTAATATGAAAGCCATGTCTGATTGCAGCTTTGGTAATCAACTATAATTCTTGAAATTGTCCGTTTATAAATTATTTGAAACTAAGGTTTCAACTCCCTCAGGCAAAGTTGACCTTAGATGGATTTGGCTACTATTTTTAGGTCCTTTTTTGTCATATAGCTCTTCAACTGTTTCGGTTCTTATACATTCTTGGCTTTCAAATATTTTGATTTGAGCTTTCATGATGAAGTTAAGGGCTATTCCATTAAAATGTATGTGGGATGGTAGGAAGGGACTTTCAAAATATCTATACAACCAAGAACCATTTTTTAGATAATTTTGCATAATGGTAATAGACGCATACTGAAAAAAGACCCATGACCCACATTCAATAATTAAAATTCCCTTCCTACCCTCCCACATAAATTTTAATGGAATAGCCCTAATCCAGAAAAGCACTTTGGATGCATGAAATTTATAAAGTGTTGTTTTCATTTTTTAAAGGAACAGAAACTATCTCATTTCCCCAAAATTTGTCAGATATGTGACCATATCATGATTCATCAGCATTCTTAATTTAATTTTTTATTTAATAAATGTTCCCCATTTATATTTTAAGAAAATATAAAATATGTTGGATAATGATTGGGACTTTCTAAAAATTTTTGTTAATACAGATCCTGACTATAGCTAAGTTTGGTTTGAAATGGCCTAGTATTTTCAAAAATGGTCATTGAAAAAAATGACTTACTGACAAAGGCTGCCAATCAATGGCAATAGCTCGTGCTAAATAGATTACACCATTTTTAATCATAGAAATATTTGAAAAATTATTTTGTCTTGTTCTATCTTATCTGCAGTATCTATGCAGCTTACAAGAAATGGAATTTGCAGGCATAATCAATATGAAATTTTTGTGATCGCTCCTGATTGGGATGGACATCTGACCAAAAGATAATTTTAAATACATTGCATACCTCTAACTTTATCTCTGACTTGAAATCCTTCTATAGCATCTTGATTTGGAAATAGCTTTGGTAATTCTTTAACAGGACAAAAAGCCTAGAATTATGAAATAAAAACATTTTACAAGATAAAGACAAATCTATACAAATAAGTTCTCTAATAAAATTGAAAAGAAATAAAAATCTGTCATAGCAACTGCAAGAGCTGAAGCAATAATCTCTATTATATATAGATATGCTTAATATTCATTGCTGACTTACAGATATTCTGAGCTGATCAATATCCCGGGATTTGCCACTGTCCAGACACAATAAGGTGATGACCAGTCCACTGTCCATTACAGAGGAAACCACACCTATTACTATGTCATGTTTCTCCACACTCTGAAATGTCAAGAGTTATAAATATTAATAATAATAAAGATATTAACAACAAAAGTCAAATAATGTGTGAATAGAATTAGGTTGAAGACATTCAAAACACATTTTGCTTTCTTTTTTCCTACAGTTTAAGTAATTTTATTTATAAGGCCTGTTTCCTGCCTCCAGACCTGCACTATGATTGAAAGCCAATTCTAATACATGTTATGGCCATACAGAATTTTTTTAAGAAATAACCTTTAATTTCATCGAGCAGACTGAACATCCTATTTCCATTGACTTATTTGGTCAAATGTGTGATAAAATTTACCAAAATGGAGTGAAAAAGTTGTCAAAACATTTGATCTTGCAAAAGTTCCATTGTGAATGCATGTTTTATCATGTGTAAATCAGAATCAGATTTGGAGAAACATGATTTTTCCAGATTTTGCCAATAAAAAACAAAATTTCCAACCAACCAACCTTTTTTTATGACTTGAGGCAGGGAACAGATATATCAAAATATGGTTTGGCCCATAGAAAAATTTAATTATCAACTAATTTAAATTAGGAACTTACATTAAAGAAATTCTTCCTGCATTCTATTTCTGGGATACCCATATAGGTCTCCAAAGGTGGCATCTTTGCAAATGTATCTGAAAACAAAATAAAAGTGGCTAACTATAGCAAATAATACAATCACACATCAGTCAGGGGCATTACTTAAACAAGTTATTTTTTAAATTAATTAAATAGGAAAGCTTTTAAGAAAAATTACTCAATTGAGTTAATAACATTTCAAAGTTCAATAAAAACATGGACTGTATGCAGGTTTTATGTATTTTTACATTATCTTATTACATACAATTAAAGTGACTAACTATAACAAAATTTACAATTGAACAAAATTGATACTGTAACAAAAACACAATTATACATTATTGACATATTTTTGACTTGTTTTTGACTTTTTTTCAGTTATTCAGAATCCTCTGGTTTTATCCCTGTAGTGCCATCACAAATTTTGCCCGCTAACCCCTACTTTTCTTTTCATAATTTTATTTCATATAGTTTAAAAGGCCATTTTTGAAAATCTTACAAAATGCTATTTTTTCATAGTCTCTGAAATGAAAAAGGTGCCAATATTGAATGTGTGGAGAATCATTTCCTGTCAAACTTTCAATGACTTATATCTCAAATACAGGGACACAGACCTTTCATTATTTTCTCCTTTTTTAGTTCTGTTTTTTTTTTGTATCTTAACAATTTAGAACAGTCTTTTAAAAAGCATGTTATTTTGAAACAGAGCAGCGAACATCCTTAAGCATATTTCTATCGAGTAACTTTTTACCTTCATAGTCTGAAGTCTTTCTTTCTTTTTCCTCTTTTTCTGAAGGTGTAATGAAGAGATAATCTGCTTTCTTTGATATAAACCTGCAAATCTTCTCCTTCAGTTCAGGATCCCTAAACATAAAATTTGCATTTATTATACTGTTATTCATAAGAAACTAAATGATATTTTCAAGATCTTCAGTTCATCTAATTTGATATATTACTATTGTCTTTAGTACACTTTACCTTAAATAGTAAAATTTATTTGTTAATTATTGTTAAAAAAACAATCACTCAATAAACTCTGTGAAGCTGCTTAAAAAACTTAATACTCAAAGACAAATTGTTATAACAAATCTAGCTCTTACTTACCCCATTTTATAATTTTATAATCAATAACTAGCATCAGTTCATAATTTTTTGTGTACAAAAGTAGGTTTTGAGAAGAGAAAATGCACAAGGGAGAATGTTTGCTTTGATGGTAACTTGTGTGAAATTGATTGACGACTGATCAATGTACAGTAACAAATTTTACATTCACTTTCAAGGTAATAAAATGCATGTTAATTAGAAATTAATAACATTGTACTAGATCAACATGTTGAGTCTAATTTGTAACATGCCAGCTAAGATGGTAACAGTCTGCAGAAAACATATTACCCTACTCAGCCATAATAAATTCAAACTTCAAGCCAACTGGTTTTGTTCTTACTACTTTATGAAAAGTGCTTGGTGGGAAGCACCAAAACAAACTTTAAAGTCTTTGGTTTGACCGAACAAGGGAAACGAAAAGCCACAACCTTTACTATGAATGTTGTAACATGAGACCACTGAGGCAGTTTCTTTTGTAAGCTAAGGGACCTAGTATTTTTTCAGGTAACCTGGATATGAGGCTTAATCTTATTATACATGTAGTCAGATTATTAAAAGTATTTTCCCTCCACCATTTTTCCATAGTAGCTGCTGAAGGCCATTCCTGCATGTTTTAACAGGAGTTATTTGGTAACAATGGTGAACATTTCATCATGGTACAGAACACCTATAATTGTGAAGATTGAAGCTTTTAATTGTTGCTTGTTCTGCCAAATAATTCATCTATATCCAGGACAGGAACAGTTGAACCATACATTTTACAATGTGGTAGATGAAGGGTTGAAGGTATTGACTGCCACCTCTGGATCATTGTTTCTAAAGAACCATTTGAGATGCAGTGTTTTAATACTGTATTTCACAGCATTCTAGTAAATCTCTTTCTTTAATAATTAAACTTACTGAAATCCTGGAGGTTTTTCTCTGTATTTTGATATATAATGAACTACATTCTCTGGAAAATGTTGATTTTCTTCTTTCAAATTTCGTATCAATGCTGGACCATTTTTCTGGACTGCATGTCCAAGAAGGAAAGAATCCATTGTTCTGAAGACAAAACAATGCAATCATACTGGTAAAGAGAATTTTAAATATTTAAAATTGCAATATTAATGTATAAAAGATTGATTTCATAAAAAAGGAAAGGTGTTTTGCTAAATCCAATAATAAATCAGTGCCTCACATCTTAAATTTAACTACTTTTTATAAATATTAACTGAAGAGCTTTTTATTAAAAGGTTTTTTTAATATCTATACTTAACTTAAGGCCCATCTTTGCAAAATAAATTGTTTTGCAGCTGTTTAAAGAAATTAACATTTATAACAAATCTGTGTCATTCTGTAGTTATTCTACAAATTTTAAACTTGTAAAATAATTTGAAGCATTTAACATTAGTTGTTCAGATAATTTTTTCACTATATAGGTTTAAGAAGGACCTGAAGCTTTTACAAATCAAAGTTTTGATAACAACATCAATACCTGGAGGTTTAACAAATTTTCTAGGGTTCCCATAAGATGGTTTCATTAGTCTTGGATTAAATGATCATCATTTTTTGAACTGCCGACTCCAAAGATGAAATTTTTTTTATCATTATCATATGTCAGCTTAATTTGATATTTTATCATTTAAATTTTATCAGGAGATATTAAAAATTTATTAAGGCATTAAGATCATTTACAAAGTCCTGGTCTGCCATGAACAAAAATGATGAGTCACTGAACAAAACTGAAAAAATCTCAGTGTGAACCCTCATTATCCAGAATTCCTAGAAAAAGGAAACGGTTAATGCAAGAATGAAGTGTTGATAATAAAGAGTTTATATTGATCTTTTTTAAGAATATATCTTTATTGTTCTTAAAATGTCTTTAATTTGGCATTATAAAAGTAAAGAGCTTCAACAATTTTATTAAAGATGCCAAATCAAACTATAAATCCAATGTTAAGCTACATCACTGAAAATCACAAACTTATAGTCTTCTTATACTAGTAACACAATCTTTCTTTAGATGATGTTAGTATTGCCATAATGGGTATGGATCCAGTTGTTGTTATAACAATAGCTTTGCCAACTTCACAGGGTACAACATCTGACAGACACTCTAAGACAAAGAAAATTCCTTCATATCTTTATGAATTTCCTCAATCATGTCCATAGTAAATATTCCATCAACTTCTTGCAGACTTAATCCTTCCACATCTTTTCAATATTTAAACATTCCATCAACTTCTTCTGTTTTGTCAGTAGTCTATCTGACAAAGTTTCTCAAGTCTTCCGTTTTTGTAAATTCCATCTCTAAGCAGTTTTCTTGTTTCAGAAATATCCAGTCCTGGAAAGGCATAAAGCAATAAGACATGTAAAATATCAGGACCAATAATTACAAATGTAATTCCCACATATAGAATTTATAATCGCTACATATATGTTACTTAGGACATTGTATTTATTTAAAGATTGATTGATTGGTGTTTAACGACACTTTCAGTACTATTGTGCTATTTCGTAACGGTTAATTTTTATTGGTAGAGGAAGTAGAGGTGCCCGCAGAGAACCACCAACCTTCGGTAGGAAAACTAACAATCCTAGTCAATTAAGATTGGAGTCAATGGCTATGTGCGGGATTCTAACTCACAACCTTAGTGTTGACAGGCTAGTGATACAGTAGTTAGACTACTTATACCCCTCAGCGTCCGAGACCACACTGTATTTAAAGTGAACACTGTTAAGTACTGTAAATTCAGAAATTATTGCTTGCATTTTAATTGCCTTTTTTGAACAATTGACACAAACGCTAGGTAAATTATTGCACACAAACGCTAGGTAAATTATTGCAATCTCAGGAAATGCTGCATACAAATAATGCTATCAAAATATAAAATGTGAGTTTTTGTTTTTGTGACACAATTTTTGCAATGATAAAACCATAGAAAAAAATTCTGACTGTACAGAAATTACATGTTTTTAATAATACTTAGAAAACATATTTATCAAGTTACTTTAAAATATTCATCTTTTCTTTTATAAAACATTTTTTGTTACATACTGTAAAGGCAGAAATTTTCGTGGAGGATTTAATTTCGTTTATTTCGTGGAAAGAATATATCCACGAAATTAAAACCCCCTCGAAAATTTAACCTAAATATAAGATCACTTCCAAATACTGGAAACCACGAAATTAAATCCCCATGAAATCTTATATAGAGACAAAACCACGAAATTTTAACCCCATGAAAATTAATGTTTCTACAGTAGCTAGTTAAAACATGCCTAATTAGGACAAATCTTTTAACACGATAGCAATGTACCAAGCTTTTAATTACAATTTAAAGGAGCATTAGCTTTCAAATTCATGTTCACCGATTTATAACCTACTAAAACGTATATCAAACTTACAAAAAGTCTAAAATGAACAATTAACAATGCATGGACTCGATAATATGTATCTGTATTTCCTGTGAATTTTAGTCCAGACGCCATCTAATTAACCATCGAGGTGACATCCAAAGACTGCCAATGGTCATATAACCCGATATAAACATAAATATAGATATAAATAAAAAGCGAACACATGCAATTGGATTTTTCTAGGTCTGTTTGATTTCATATTATAGATTAAACAAATATGTTAATCATCTTTTTAACCGTATAAGAATGAGTTTTTGTGGATCGAATCAGTCAACCAAATGATCTATCATTGTTTCACTTTCAATGTTGACATTCTTTTCCTTTTAATAGCTGAACACGCCTAGTTCATGCGTAACCCATCTCTAGCTAAGGAGTTAAAAAAAACATCACATGAATACGGATTCAATAAGGTCGAATTATTCACTTGCAAGTGAATAATTCACCAGGGATATTTCTTAGCTTATTTTGACAAAATTGAACAAAACTGGCTGCTAAAAGTGAATTATTATTTCACTATTTCACTTTCATTAATGATTGAACAAAAAAAAAATCAAATTTTAATTTTTTTATATCTCATAGCTAATGCCCCTTTAATTACATGCAATAAATCATGTAAAAAGAAATGTAATGAGAAAGGTGGACATTAAATGGATCAAAATTTGTAATTAGCAAGGACAGTCAAGTATATGGAGAGATATAGAGACATTTGAAATAAATAATTTTTGAATGGTCCAATTTTCTAGTTCTTTTGTGGTTGGATGGGTTTTTAAAAAGTTACCACTGAGATTAACAAAAATAAAAAGGTAAAACATTGGGTCTCCCTGGCCTTCCTGATGAGAAGGCATAATAATTCCCTTCATTTCGTTAAAAATGTAAAAAATTAAGCCTCCCTCACTGTTGACAAGTGGATGATGGTAACTGAAGTTACCACGATCCCAATATGGCGGAGGGGAATCCCCGTAAGATCTTTCCCTCTTAATGTCTTTGTTTTTACATAAATATGGCTAACATTACTCAGCCGTTCAGTTACCACGATCCCAATATGGCGGAGGGGAATCTCCGTAAGATCTTTCCCTCTTAATGTCTTTGTTTTTACATAAATGTGGCTAACATTACTCAGCCGTCGTTTGGTTATTAACGTTTGCATTGAGTCTGTAAAATATTAACCTTAAACAGCTGTCCGTTACTGAGAAAATTGAACACAATAAAAATGTGATGATGATGGTAACTCCAAGATGGGATGGTGGTAACTGTCGATCAAAATAGTTAGGAGATGATGGTAACTTTTATATAACACGAGGTTTCTTTTCAAATATACAGTGTTTAACATCACTTTACATGAAATGAAACACAATAACCCATCTTAACTGAAACCATTATATTGGAGTATAGACCAATACTAGCACAAGAGACAAAAATGTGTCGGGGAAACAAATTAAAATGTTTTGTAAAATGAAACTGTCTTTAATGCAACAATTTCACAAACAGTGTTGTAATACCAACTAAAAAATTATATAAAAGATATATGTTTCAACAAAGAATCAAATAATTAAACAAATGAAAATTCAAAAGGGTAAGCCTTAAACAGATTTATATGCAATTCCTGTTTCTTGTCAAAAATGAATAGATAGATATAGGAGTTTTATAAAAAAAAAAGAAAAAAGAAAAAAAAAACATTTTACTTTGAGGTACCGGTAATGAAGGAAAAATCAAAAGTTAAACATATTTCAAGAAATGCTAGGCATTAGAGAATGCCTTCTTAAGGCATCACAATATGGGGTGGGGACTTTTTTCGGGACTCCGAGATTAGGTGGTTTTAAGCTCGGAATTTCGAAATTGATCCTTTTGGGATAAGGGAATTCCTATTTCAAATTTCAGGATGTCAGGATTAAAATCTTTAAATTCGGGGCCTCTGGATTTCAAGCTTTTAAGCTTTGGATTTCGGGATCAGACCCCCTCCTCCCCTCCTCAATATAGTAGGTTTGGGAAACAGAAACAGGAAATAAACATATAATTGTGTTCAGCTTTAAAGTGAAACCAGAGAGGAATCTCTGGAAAACATTTCATACCATTCAAACTTGTCGGACACACATCCTTTAAATTGCATCATATTAATTACAACTATTAGGTGTATATGTCAGTTAAATTTGCAAATTCCTGAAACAAAATGTAAGCCCCAATCATTCCATATTTTTCATTTTCTAAGTTCATTGCCGGAAAGGTATTGTTTACCCTATTGATATCTCAAAATCATATCCCCACACATCCACATTTATCAAAGCATATAGTGAATAGAACTTATGATAAGAAGGAATTGTTTACACATTTTATGTTTTACATAAGTAAAACAGAAATTCTAGATGTTCTGTAATGAATATATTAAAAGCAATTATCAATTTTAAGGACTTTAATGGTGCAGATAAATAATTTTAAAATGAGTGTAGACCAGTGTACAATAATTACCACAATCAAGCTTCTTTCACTTTCGTTGGTGACTTCCATAATATTATCTTTTCAATAGAATACAAAAATATCAATGGTGAATATATATTATGAAATTGGTTATATTTTAAGATCCAGAACGATACTCAGTGTTGGATCCAAAAAGGGGGTGCCGGGGATTGACCCCCCCCCTTTTTATTGGAAAATTTGTCTTTTTCATGTGACAAATTGACAAAAAATGTTAAATAAGGTAGTAGCACCCCCCCCCCCCCCCTTTTCTGAGAAACCCTGGCTAGCACATCCCTCTTTTTTTCATAGTGTCTGGATCCGCCCCTGATACCGATACGTAGTACTCAAAAATGGGTCATAATATAGGACGAAATATGTAACGTAAATTAATTTAAGGGTGAGGGGGCCCATATATCACTGCTAAAACTGTACTTAGTTTGTCGTTTTATACAACCTTATAGCAAGTTACCACCATCCCAGAAATCAGTTACCATGATCTTTCAAAAATAACATGAACAGTTACCATCATCAACGTACTTTTTTCACTCTCTATTTTCTAAGTAACGGACAACTGTTTAAGATTAATATTTTAAAGACTCATTGCAAATGTTAATAACCAAACGACGGCTGAGTAATATTAGCCACATTTATTTAAAAACAAAGAAATTAAGAGGGAAAGATCTTACGGGGATTCCAATCCGCCATATTGGGATCGTGGTAACTTCAGTTACCATCATCCGCTTGTCAACAGTGCTCCCTGGACTTCCTTGATAAGAGAGCATAATAATTCCCTTAAATCAGTAGCATTTCATTGGTAGATCACAAAAAAGAACAACTTTTATAACAAATGCACGTCAGAACTAAGAGATAACTGCAATATTTACTTACTTTTTTTTTAACTGTTTCCTTCAGAAATTAATGTTCACTGTTTTCCTTGAAATATGTGTATACAGGCTTGGAAATAAAACGGTTTGGAAGGAAATTTAAATCGCTCCTTTCAGCCTTTTTCTTAATGTTTCAATAAATCTTTAATTTTATGTAAGCACTCTACAAAACAAAATCAAAACATTATTTAACTAAGTTAAAAGTTTTCCGTGAATATTGTCAAGATGACAATGAAGTTATAATTTTATTCTAGAGTTTTCATAAAAACAACAAAGAAAATCGATTTCATTTGCATATGCATCTGACTTTTTTTTTTTAATGTTGTTTGTGATCCACAAATATGCAAGTGCTTTCATTTCAATAATAACAAATTTTCTTAAAAATTAACTCTTTCTGATCACAATTTGAAAAATAACATGTACATGTACCATGATGTATAAATAATATACAATAAACAGGAATTTAGTATTTTGATAAAATGTGTCCTATATAAATCCTTACCTTATTGATTAACTTCTTCAATTTTTCAATTTCATCAAAAACAATGTGGGTATTGGAAAAATTACTGAAAAATAATTTGAAACCTCTTGCTGTTGACTAAACTGGGTCAAGGAAAACTAAAGTTGTGCCTTCAATAGTGAGATGTGTTCAGTAATTCTAATAATGGCATCAGTAAACCATAATTTTAAACAAGCAGGGCAAAAAAAAAAAAAAATATATATATAGTCACGCATCAATTATATTCTAAATTTCTAATGTATGGCAAAATATTCTTTTGTATTTTACTTATATTCTAACATGTATATATGTTGTGTTAAACATAAGGAACTTATACACTACAATAATGATTACAATACTTCATTCACATCTGAATGTGAACTGCTTGTGATGATACAACAGCGTTCTATAAATAAAGAAGAAAATAAAGTCCTAGAATAAAACTGTGTTCTATAAATAATGGAAAATCTGTTCAATGTTAATATTACAAATGTACATGCAAATGCATGCTAAGAACAAAGCCTTGAGTACATTTTATTAAAACTTTACATTAAACACAAATCATTTTTATTACACATCATTAGCAAACTTGTACATGTGCAATGTATGTATGAATGATATTGATAATAATGGAAGGAATAATTTTGTAGTTGCTAGACAGTCCAGTTGTAATTTCTATTTATCTTGATTTGTGGGTCTAAATAAAGTATATCATATTGCACCAGTTTAAAAATGCTAGTGCAGTTACCCTTTATAATAATATAGTACCAAATATTTCAACAACATTGACCATGTTCATGATGTTCATCCAATTCCTGATGGTCTGATGCCTGCAGTAAGGACAAACTACCATTACAGCAGTGTTAATTTTTTGTTTGCTTGCGTGCAAATATCTTTTTCCTCAGAAACACTCCAGTGCATATCATATTTCAAGGAAAGGAATAGAATGTAATATTGGTCAAGATACAATATATTTTAACTCATCAGAAACCCTACCTTTCTAAATTTATTACTATATTCATGTCCATTTGTAAGTATATCCAAGTTTCTTTTTTAAAGGAGATTTTTCTGTCATTAAAGCAATGCAATACATATATTTGGTGGCCTTTATATCATAGTAATAAGTCTCAAAAATAAAAAAATAAAAATTAGAGAAAACATTTCAGAATCTTACCTAAAATAAAGACTATAAATTCAGAACAACATACATTGTATTTATTAATCTATTCTAATTGCTACTTTGCTACACATTAGAACTATGGATGTAATAGACCAATTATTTTTCCATTTTGGCAATACAGTAAGACATTTTCTCTTAGGTCTTATATGAATGTCTGAGATGACCAGTTATGGTGGTTTAACAGGTTCAGGATTTTCTCCCAAATGGGTCATAATGACCCGGAAACATTTGTATTATTGCCCAATGGGATATAAATTTTGAATTTTTTTCTGTGCAAAAAATCTAAATTTTTTGAATGTTTAGATCAATAGTAGCAACTTTTGATAAGCAATTTCAACAGAAAAAAAATTAGTTGCTAGATTGATCCCTCTGAAAGCAGCATCTTCCACAGGATCAAACTCATTATCAATCTGGTATTCAAAAAAATTTCTAACCAAATGTTATTGCCTTTTCTGTTATCATTTACAGTTTGCAACATTTTCCCTTGATCGAATCCCCCCAAAAATTTTTGGACAGAACAATTATATCCCATTGGCAGAGTGTGGAAATGATATAGCCAACTTGACCGTCTCATACATTTGAATACCCAGACAAGTAATTATTTTTGTCTGGGTTGCTTGTGGACAAATAAAAAATTACCCTTGACAGAACAGTTTTAAGAATCATACAAGCTTAGTCAAGTACTACCGATATTTATTGGGAAATTCAGGGCAAGTAAAACTTGCCCAGGGACAAGTGCTCACAACAAATATTTCAACACTCCTGCATTTGGGTTTTTATATCCCAAATATTATAACCCATTTTGGAGATAATCCCCAACCTGTTTAATTGGTGATACAAGGATAAATTATTTACACGTCTATAAATGGGACAACAGTCTGCACAATTGGTGTATACCTGGGTATAAATTTATTGATTCAGTGGAATCGCCAGCATTTAGTTCATAACTTTATACTGCCGCAAAAATCCGATGGAGTCGGTTGTACACGAAAAGTCCGAGAAGCCATGCTTCATCTCGACATCTGTGTTTATGGCGATAAAACACTACCGTAAAAACTACTCGTGCAAAAAGAGGACCAAATTGCGAAGGAAAGGCTTCTCTTTACGATAACTGTAGTAATGCCTACCAATCGAGTTTCTATATCTGCATATTATTGTGACAAAAATAACATTTTTATAGATATTTTCAATTCTCCCTTGACAAAATAAATTATGAGAATGCTACCTCCACACTGGAGAAGCAAGGTCATCGGCTCACCGAAGTTTCCCGAATGACTCCGTACATTATCGACTGAGTTATAGTTGTTTGGTAAATTAAAAGGTAGTAGGGGAGCGGATTTTTTTCGCCCGACTTCTCCTTTTTGTAGTATATTTCACCAGGGACATACATATAGATATACTGTTCCCAGATTTCACGAATAAGACAAATCAACCTTTATATTAGGTTTTTAAAGAAATGCGAATTAATAGTGTTTAAAAATATATGAAAATAATCGTATCTTTAGCTAAATGCATTTTTTTTCATCTGTTATAAGAAGAAAAAAATTTAAACTAAAGCATGAAAGTACACCTAAATGTGAAAGGTTCACCGGATTTAGTTTTTCACGATAAGAATTTACCAATTTCAGTATTTTAACCAAACTGTCTCCAATAGCAGATATCTAAATAAACCGTTTTTATCAAATCAATATTTAATATTTCGTGGATTTTTCCAAAGAATTTATGAGAATACACCATTAGGATCTGATCTGATTATCACCTGCCATTATTATATTTGATGTGACTTTATTTCTTAACATATAAAATGCATTATAACTTCTAGATCTAGTGTATAAACATAATGGTATAAATAAGTATACAATATTAAAATATCACTAAAACTGTATACAAGATATGCGTATCCAGGTCTTCTATCTTTTCTAATATAAATCTTTATATAAATAGTCTATGCCGTATAGCCGCAGCCGGATTTGCACCCCTTGTATAGCAATCTGCGGTATCGATACTTTCCCAAAATGATGGTTTCTAGCATGTTATTTAAAAAAAAACAGGGTAATTCCCGAGTTTGTTTATTTTTTACTTAAATAGAATTTTTGTTTTTAGTAGAAATGTTCTTTAATTAATCTAACATATTGGTGGTAGTTGCCTTATAAAAATAAGTCAATTATACTTTTGAAATAAGGAGAAGTAGTAAGATTGTGTGGATTGTCAATGAGACGACTATCCACCAAAGTCCAAATGAAACGGATTTAAGGATCTATAGATCGTCGTACGGCCTTCAACAGTGAGAAAAAAACATATCATATAGTCAGCTATGAAAGGCCCCGACATGACAAAATGTGAAACAATTTAAACGAAAATAACAATGGCCTGATTTATGAAAAAAAGATAAACGAAAAACATATTTGACAGACAGCAACCTACAACAACTACGATTTGTTTTGGCTCCTTCAGGGTCAGACACAAATAGAATGTGGCGGAGATAAACATGCTTGTGCGCCCTCATCATTGTTTTGTAAACTGGTCCTTGTTTTGGGAAACTGAACACTTGTTTAAAGAGATCATACGGGGAAAAGACATTTGTCCAAGTAAACTTTACGAAAATAATTCTTATGGGTGTATACAAAATTTTTTTACACAAAGTTAACAAAGTTCAAATAGTCTAGTTTACATTAAATGTGTATGTAAAATATCATTCGACTTTGCTTGTTAATGACAGGCTTAAGCGAGTAGCCTGTCAAAGACACAACAAAAGCGTAACGTTCAAACATTTATCCGCCGTTGTATGTATCGTTTTCAAATTGTAAACGCTTAATTTACAATTGTTTTTTCGTTATCACAATTTTAGGACTGGGAGAAAAAATGAACTGATTTTTCATTTGTTCAATGAATGTAAATTAACTACATTACAATGCATCTCATATCTGATGTTAACTCGGATATATAAGAAATATAACATAAACAATTAAACAAATATAATGCAAATGGTTTTATTTAAGACATAAGACATAAAGCTTTATTTAGAGTCGGTATGTGCAAATACAAGTATAAACATAAGTTCTGAAGAGCTTTTAAAACCGACAGAGCAACAAATAAAACAAAACATACATATCAAGTCATGCACACATAAATTAAACATATAAAGCAAGAGTTCATATCAGTATATAAACATGCAGCACAAAAGTTCTTAAAAGCATCTTACAAGTTAAACACACACTGAAACATGCACTTGTGAGATAAAAGCACAAAAACAAAAATAAAATGGTTTGCACATTAAAAGCACATATAGATTAGTTAGTTACTAAAATTAGCACAAAGCAGCAGAAGCACTATAAGTAAAGATAATAAAATAAAATTGCCATGCTGAAAATAAAGCATTAAACCAAAAATAATGAACAGAAATTAACTGGTTTTGCAGGCAAAACATTGGCATGAGCTGACAGACCAAGAATTTATCAAATTCTTGAATTGATTTAAAGATGATTGCTTACGTAGCACATCTGGCATTTTATGGACACTTATGTTGAGAACGAGTAAAATACAAATGTATTGACATAAAATGTATACATCTGGGAAAAATGTTTTTTTGTAAGCTGCTTGAGATCTAATAGAACTATGCACATTGTCGCCTGATATTGAGTATTCATCTCCAATGCCGTCAAACAAATTGTATTTGTATCAAATGTATAATTAGGTATTTGAACTTATAGCACTATTTCTTGAAAAGGACGACATATATATGTTATAAAACTAACAAGTTGCCATACAGTTTGAAAACAAGTTGCCGTACTGTAAATCTGTAAATACGAGCAAGTGTTGTCGCACCCTAGGCTTGATTGGTTTTTACCAATATCCTTTAGAAAACATCTTTTTGATAGCGAATTTAAGTAAATATGAAGTCACACTATCATACATATATGACTAAAAATTTGTCTGAAAAAAAGAGAATGAAAAACAGTTGAATATCTGGCCAGCGGGACGTGGTACCAAGTGCACAATCTTGCATGGAGTGACACAAACTCTTGTCTTTGTTTGCTACTTGTTGGCATATAAAATCAAAGCACTATATATCAGAAAATCGTTTCACAAGCGGTAACCTCATCAAAATGGTAGAAATGGTTTGAATTAAAGGAATTCTTACCTTGTTTATTTTTTTTTTCTCCTTTCTCTCCGATTCGTTGGTAACCAATTTCCGGTGGCGATGATACACAGTGATAAATACACTTTACAAGGTATATTGTAATTTTGATCAAGTATCTTACAAACTTCATTAGATATCACGGTCATACATTTCATAGTTGATTCAAAAATATGTGTTCGATATCTTATAAACATGCCGGTATGTGATATATTATTTTTATCAGATGTCATAAGAAATATTATTTATAATTAGAATATTTGTTATAAGAGGTACCTTCTTAGTTTAAACAATATTTTATTTTTCAAAAGAGCACAATTTACAATTATACAATAAAAATACGGGGATTCGGAAACATGAATAACTTATATAAATCCGTCCCCCTTAACAAGATGCCTTCTTGAATTCCCTCAATAAAACAGTTTACTTTGAAATGGAATATGATACGAATGAAGTCCCTTAGTAAATCTACCATCTTTCAAATGATATATTGTACAGAGATGAAACTTATGTAAATATGCTTAAACTTATAGTATATCCAAAGGGTATTCATTGAACTTTCATCTTCTGTTAAATTTTAAGTGATTATGAAATATATTCTGAATAATGGTATAAGGGGATGATTGTCTGAGTAAATAGTCCAAATTTTATTTTCGATTTTGAAAAGGAAGTTAATAAAATGACCCTACATATATTCATACTCAAAACAGTATTGCTCTCTAAGATGCCAGTCATGACCTATATGACCCCGGCTTTAAGAATTCTCAAAGAAACCATGAAGGGGCTACTTGTATGAGAAAGCAATTCAAATTTTGCAGTCTAACATAGGGAATAAAAAATCTGCACCCTCAATTATGATAAAATTGCATTGAAGTAATGGGTGAATTAATTGAGTCCCAGTTCCAAATGTTTAAAATGGTCTGAATGCTGTTAATGTTTTTCTATTCCCCATAGTTAACTGTCGTTTAGAGCAATATAAACAACCAATTGAAGTCAAATAATTTTGTATTTAGACCTGGGGCATAATATGTTGTAATTAGTCCCAGTGTAAACCAAAAGTTTTATTAAGTTAATAAAAGTTTTTTTTTTCTATCCTTTCTCATTACAATGTGTCAAGATTCCCTGTATGCTACACTGTCATATCAAGCTAGCACTCCCTGTATGCTACACTGTCATATCAAGCACGCATTCCATGCATGCTACACTGTCATATCAAGCACGCATTCCCTGTATGCTACACTGTCATATCAAGCTAGCATTCCCTGTATGCTACACTGTCATATCAAGCACGCATTCCCTGTATGCTACACTGTCATATCAAGCTAGCATTCCCTGTATGATACACTGTCATATCAAGCTAGCATTCCCTGTATGCTACACTGTCATATCAAGCTAGCATTCCCTGTATGCTACACTGTCATATCAAGCACGCATTCCCTGTATGCTACACTGTCATATCAAGCACGCATTCCCTGTATGCTACACTGTCATATCAAGCTAGCATTCCCTGTATGATACACTGTCATATCAAGCTAGCATTCCCTGTATGATACACTGTCATATCAAGCTAGCATTCCCTGTATGCTACACTGTCATATCAAGCTAGCATTCCCTGAATGCTACACTGTCAAATCAAGCTAGCATTCCCTGTATGATACACTGTCATATCAAGCTAGCATTCCCTGTATGATACACTGTCATATCAAGCTAGCATTCCCTGTATGATACACTGTCATATCAAGCTAGCATTCCCTGTATGCTACACTGTCAAATCAAGCTAGCGTTCCCTGTATGATACACTGTCATATCAAGCTAGCATTCCCTGTATGCTACACTGTCATATCAAGCTAGCAAAGCAAATCAACAGTTTCAAGATACCCGAGCGTATTGCTATAACTGAAAAGATTCTTATGATTTTGTCCATTTGAGTTAAAAACTATATCTTTGATTTGTTGAGGTTTTCTTCTAGTTTCTTAGAGGAACAAAAGCCATAGCATAAAACATTTAAAAATGTGCGTAGAACCTTCTCTGAGTTCGTTAGTAAAACGATATACCATTCGCATATAAGAGGGAATGTATCATGTGTAACCAATAAGAATGGG